AGATCGATAGAACCCTTTACGTTGGGTTGCACCGCAGCATACACTGTCCCCTTGCTTCTAATCGCAAAGAGAGGCTACTTACGCAGGCTAAGGCTCAGTGGAGTTTAAGCACTTGCAGTGCATAGGGTGCAAAGAAAATTGCAATTCAGCAACAGTCTTTCCAGAAAGTACTATGACCGAGATGAAATATGATGGTTTCAGTGCCATAGCTTTTTCGCAGATTTTTGGCAAAGCCTGGAATTAGTGCATACTGAATTTAAACTGAGAGCCGCCTTCGGTGAATGAATCAAACTTTGAAAAGAAGAGCGTGCAAACTCGCGACACTAACGTAAACTCTGCCGTCACTGAATTGGCATCGGCATAGAAAGAGGAGATAAATGAGCCTAGCTGAATGTGAAAAAATGTAATTTGGCGTTTCTCAATTTACTGAACTTTCATTATACTCATACCTGACCGCGTATTTATAGGGTTGAAAACCGTGCGTAAATATAATTATCAAAAAAGGCTCATCACAAACCCAATCCATTTAATATTATTAGGAATAGACTGTAGCGAAATTAACGATGCAAATTGCGGGTGGTACTGCAAATGCTTAAATATCATAGAGATATGATAGATGGCATTGATGGCCATTGACAGCCACGAGCAGAAAGGCGGTGTTTGATGAACTGGTTTATATCTGATATACTCAATGTGAGTTCATAATGTTAGGTAATGCGTAATGGTGTGCTGCACAATTGCATGCGTCTTTTCCAGGTCTTATAGATCTTTGGCACATGAAAGATGCTTCCTTTGTAAACACAATTGGACTTGGTCAAGACGGTTTCCTGGCGTTTTCTTTGAGCATTACATCAGTGATGATATTTATTGTTTATGTGAAATAAATATGGCAACGGTTATTAGTTGTAACATTATGTATACATGAGCTGCATTTTCCTCTTAAGAGGTTCAAGGTGAAGGGAAGAGAAATGATCAGCAAAAGAGAGAAGGTAAAATGACAACAGAGGAGAGGTGTCCGAGGTGGAGTGGAGAGGAACTACGAATAAAGTAGAAGAAAGAGAAATGTACCGACTGGCTCTTTTTAGCAAGCGAGTGTACTTCATTGACGTCTTATCAAGTTCTATCTAGTTTACGTATTTGCGGCTAATGGTCGCTGTCGTTGAGGGAAACGCTTAAATGAAACTTCGATTCTTCTCATACACTGTTTGATCAATATAAGTCCATTCTTTGTTCTGCTGTTGTCACAGTTATCCGAAGCCGCTGATATTTAGCATCCATCCCTCGGTGATCCAGCCCAAACGTTGCATCTTGATAATCTTTTACAAACAGCATTAAGGAAACCTATCAAA